TAAAAACAAAAGCAAGAACAATTTAAAAAAGAAAAAGAAAAGCATTTTGGACTTGTATGCTTTCTTTTTCTGTAAAGATTGTATATCAATTGATAACAAAAAAACAAAAAAACAAAAACTTAAATCAATGGTGACAGCGTTTCATGATTAGACGCAATAGTCAGAACATGTCGGGAGAATAGCTGAACTTATTGGATGGCCGGCTATTTCCAGTTCATAGAGTTATTTTAATATCTGTTGCATGTGATTAATTATTAGGTGGGAAATGATTATATCCTGTTGTCTTTTTGTGACGATCCTTGTGTATTGTTATTGATTATGTATGTCATTAAAAGATAGTCCATAAGTTTATGGTTTGTTTAGGTCATTCGGTGATAGATCGTAAGTTTAGGATTTGCATTCAACTTGCTTACATTTTATGCATTTTTTATAAAGTTTATTTTTCAGTAAATCTTTTGCCATGTATGCATCCGTACTATACTCGACAGTACTTTTTAGCCTCTATTCGTTTCTAAATTCTATCCTATTATAATAACAAAAGCCTTTTCAAATGTTGTGGATTCATATGTATGCGTATAGTAAAATATATAGCATCAAATTTTTATCATCCACTTATGATTTGGCTCTAATATTGGAAAAGGATAAAGTAAAAAGGTAAAATAACAGTTATATAAGTTGCTAGTTGGGTTGAACAGTATCTATATTAAAAAAAATACATCTTTTAGACTATTAGGTTACAAAGAATGTTTGAATGTATGGCAGTAGAATTCGGAACATAGCTTTTCGTATCCATTGCGTACATTTAAATATTTGTACCGCTTGAGCAGCCATATTTTATACGTACAGAGAAAGAGGCGCAGAATATGAAAAGATACGGAAATAATATTGCAGTCAATTTTCTAGAAAACAAAATGCGACTAATTTTTATTAGGAAGAGTTCTTCGCGATAAAAACTAGTCTTGAGAGAAGCGTGTCTTGGCTTCATTTAGGAAGTTCAAACAATTCGCCCATTTTCTCTCACCACCCACAAGTATAGAGCTATATATATATATATATATATATATATATATATATATATATATATATATATATATATATAAAAATCATAATAAAAAAACATTTGAAATCGTCGAAAGCTTTCATGTTTCAATATTCTGTATTTCTTCAGGCGATGGTAAGTAACTGGTGATAATATATTGATCTACTTTGGATTGATCATTTTTTTTTTTTTAAGTAAATGCTACGAACAGTGGAATTTGAATTTTACGCCATCTGTTCTTTCTCTCATTTGTGTGTGTATATATATATATATATATATATATATATATATCACACACACCTGTGGATAACAGTTTTAATTACGAATAAGGAACAATTGTTTTGTTTTTTTAATGTAATTAATTTTAAATCCATGTCAATATCTGGTTATTTGAATAAAATATTTATGAAATTTATTAGTTAAAAAAAAAAAAAAAAAAACAAAAATAAAAAGCTGTCAAGGTTTTAGTTATTTTTATCACAATTTAAATAATACTTTGATACGACGATGACGACGGATGCTTCACTCTAGAGATTTGTTGACCTTTCAAATGTTGTCATTGGACAATGTGTTAGTGCTCTCATACGGGTTTCAGTAATATATCTACTCCGGAGATGATTAAATAACATTTATTCGTTTATTTATATGATTATAGCATCGTCATCGGACAAGATGTTTTTGTTTTCAACCCACGAAACAGTGAAAAAATATTAAAATGTCAACGGGGAAATAAATTTAATTAGAAAGTATTTAAAAGAACTATTAAAAAAAATTGGTCAGCAATTGTCGACGAAATAGATTAATCACTTTAATATGATCGTTTCTTATTTGGACAACGGATTTTGATTTTTAATCGTTAACAGTTAGAAAGCTTTGCCTGATTCAATGGACATGGAATCTTACATACATATACACACACACAGATGTGTGTGCGTGGAGAACTATATAAAAGCAATTCGAATTTGAAAGTTATGAAAGAAAGCTTTCTAAAAAATAATAATATGAACAGTCATCAATAACGCCGAGGCTAACGCCTTGTAATTATTGTAGGTACCAACAGAGATCGCTGGAAAATGAGCATAGCAGGATAATAACGGCCTTAAACTTGACGAAAAAATTTTCTCCTCAAAATGTTTATGTTTTTATTAAGAGGAAAGAACAAAGTAATTTTTAATTATTTTTCAAAATTTTTCTGTCTTTATTAGAGCGTTCTAACTTAATTGAAAAACCTCGTTTCTCATCAGCGAATGTCATACTAACTAACATGGCGGATTTGTGTTTTTTGTTTTTTAAATGTTAGTCATTAATTTTGAAAATCTTGCAAAAATAAAAATTGTCGGATTTTAATAAAACTTTCAGAAACTATTCACAAATGATGGAAATTATAAATATGTTTAAATTTTTTTTTTAAGTCACGGTCTTGGGGTGAAACGCTTAAAAAACAAAAAAATTTATTATATTTATTACCCCCACCCCCAATAATTTATTTTATGAAAACTCATGAAATTTTATTTTGTACAGTGTTAGTGATTAATTAGTTAAAAGCACAAGGTTTTCAAGAAAGCAAATCATTTTTTAGCTGACCCCCTTCTACCTTAAAATCAGCTCTGAATTGTAATATACAAAAATCAATAAAACAAAGATATTATTTAATTTCAAAAGCTTTCAGTTGCTTTTACTTATTTGTATGAATATGGATAATATTTTCTGAAAGCAAAAAAGTTTTCGATGAAAAATAAATTTTTTACAACAATTATTTGTTATTTCTTAAATTATTTTATTTTTTTACATTAAAATTGTTAAATATTCTAAAATTAATGAAAATCTTGTACACCCTAGTCAATGGTGTTATTAAGTAGGTAAATATCATTTACCGATTATAAAATAAAGCTGGTTACAATCAGCAATTTGCCAATGGCTTGTGCCGCAAAATAGCTTAAATTCAAATATACGAAAGACCGGAAGCATCATAAAAACAATAGTCCGTCACGTGGTTTGCGTTGGTAGTAACAAACATTTTGACGATAAAATTCTGCTTTCGTCAAGTTTAAGGCCATTTTTATCATGCTATGCGTACTTAAAAATAACGAAGTAAATAAGTTGTTCACAAAACTAAACTGTCACTTGTAACCTTCCGTACTATAACTTTTCCTCCTGTAAGATGAAATCACGCACATGTCACTTGTCAATCAACACCTCTGTTAAGACCGGCTATGATTTGAAAGTCCTTTTTTTTTTCAGCGCAGAAAGTAAGTAATGTTTGTTTCAAATTACATTAAACAAACTTTATAATTTCTAATTTTCTTAAATTAATTTAAAAATATCAATTGATTTTTAAACGAAGATTTTCACTTTTGTAAACAAAAATTAAGAAAATGGCTGACGATCAATTCTGTCAATTTTGCTGATAAAAAAAAAAAATACAAGATTTTTAACAAATTTTGGACGTGCTAGAAATTAAAAAAAAAAAAAAAACTGATTTTTCCTCTTGATAAACATTTAAACGATAAAAAATTATTTTCAAATTTAAGGCCGTTACTATCCTGCTATGCTCATTTTTCAGCGATCTCATGTTGGTACCTAAATTATTGTTTTTAATAATTGTACGTAATTTCGTCTAAAAGAGCTTGGAATAAGATTTTGTTGGCTTCATAAACACTAGTCGCTATTTTTACCATGGAAAGCACAGACCGTAGTCATAACAATCCAAGGTAACACCGAAACCTAAGGCATATTTACATACCAGAAGAAAACGCTAAGACGCGGTATCAGGCAAGGTACTCGTCAAATCATTGAGGTTTCTTGAGCACTTGGATCTTGGTCAGCAGTTTTTGTTTTGGTGTAGGTGTGTGGGGGTGGGGATTCATAAATAATTTATTGGCTTGACTAACGTTTACCAGGCACACGATTCTGGTGGAATACAAGGACTGTCACTAAAATAGGGACGAAATCTCACAATATTTGGATAAGGACATCTCAGTGCACAATCGAATTACCATAATTGAACTCTTATTACTACCAAATGGTGATTAGACTAAAATGACTTACTGAAGGTGTGTAGCAGATTAATAGGTAAGGTTAACTTATTAGTTGTTATTCTTGGCGTTTGCTTTGAAAAGAATTTTTGCCATCGTAAACCGTAATCATCAACTCTGTATACGTGTTTATTAATTCAGTCAATTGTTTTTATTTAAGTTGTCTTCCACCAGGACAGTGTGGCCGGTAAAAAGTAGTCATGCCAATTCAGTTCAAATTTGGCTACATTACATATCTCACATATACATACAAATTGACGGATTGTATTTTTCAGTCCAACATATTCTTATTACTTCAAACGTCATTTTTATTGGATACCTATATTCGATTCGACTCTTCATTTATTTTATTTTAGTTAAAAAAAGCATTAACAGAATTCTAGAAAACGTAAGCTGTCGACTCAAATGAGTTTCCGCGAGTACACAGGCCGGTAGACGAATTAAACAGTTTAAAAAAGCGTCGAGTCGAGTATCCACTAAAAATGTTTGAAATGATGAAATACAGGGTGATTGAAAAGTAACTCCCTATTTTATATATGATGGACTTTCCCGTCTCACTATAATTTTTACAAGACGGGAGGGTCCATCATACACAAAATAGGGAGTTACTTTTCAATCACACCGTGTGCGTGTTATATAAAATCCAGTTCAATAAATAATTACTTATTCTATTTTAAAGATTTGAAAAAAAAAAAAAAAAAAAAAAAAATCCAAGTCAACTCAATCATAAAGAGAGGGAGAGAACACCCCACGAAGCGTTTGTAACCTTAAATAATAAACGATAGTTTCGGAGTAAAAAGCAGAAAAGGATGTGGATGAGAGGAACAACGCTGACCAGGATGTGAGGGCAGAGAGAGTTTACCAGAGACTTGCAGAAAGTAATACCGAAAAGAACACCGACACCGAAACAGCTTTAGTCATCATACCGGATGACCAACTGACGTAGATCTGTCTGCCATTTAGCGGTTGAATTGGTCGAAAATTTTTTCCCAGTTGTCCATGAGAATCTTTTACTGTCCAGAAAGCATCCAACTGAAAAAGAATTAAAAAAAAAAATGTCTTTTAAATAAAACACGAAAAATACAAAATGAATAATTTTTTTTTGTAATAAGATTACCAAAACCTTATCAAAATGTAAGGATCTGGAAGTAGAAATTGAAAGATTGTGGCACATGAAGAGATCAACAATTTGAATTGCGGTTGAGGTTCCTGGTTTAATTTGAAGGGTGTTCTTAAATTCAGATCCCAGGTAACGAATGACTTAAGGAAGCAGAAAAAACTGCTAAGTACAGCTCACACCCTGGGAAGGACTATGTATAAAACACTTATGCATATTAAAAAAAAAAACACGGAGAGAAAAGGAAAAAAATGGCAGAAATGTCATTCTTGACCTTAAGTCTCTGGTTGGGACCTGGCAGGAAATGGGTATACAACAGAAATCAAAGGCGACGGTGGAGAAAAAAAAAAAAAAAAAAAAAAATGAACGAAATTAAAAATAATATCAATAAAATCAGTTTTCAGATAAGGAATTGTCGATATTTTTTTTCTAGGAGATAATGGGGAACATTTAGGACTTTCATACAGTTGTTTAGACTCACAAGATATTTCCATAAATTTCACTTCCCGCTTCTTTTACGACTCTGGTTTTGCCACAAATAAAGTAAAGTATACCAAAGTACTATTCAGAAGATTTAAGGGCCCTGTCACAAAGTAAAAGGCGAAACAAGCTCGAAGTGGGGAACTATTCAAATCCAAAAGTATATGGGCTTTATTTTGACATCAACAGCATTCCGGGTGTATGGTGTTTTAGTTTTACAGATAATACCTGCACCCAGGCACTTCGACGTTGTGTAATGGTCAGTAAGCTTGTCTCGCTAGATCAATTACGGCTGAATAAAGAGCATCATCCTCACTACCTGCCCCCATACCTTCTGCACCTAATGTCTAATGGCCAAGTTTTGAATTCAGAGTTGTCCTTCTCCTACCCTGGATACAAACGTCGGTCTGCCCGACTGTTAAACTTATAGCTGGTGAAAGAGAAGAGATCGATTTCTATCTTTCCCCAAGGTTATTTGTGTGAAAGTGAATGTAAAGAACTCTACTAGAATTCGATCCCGACTCGCCGACTTCACATTACGAGTCGTTAATCAATTCCACTATCTTCGCAAAAATAAAAATTGAAAATAAGTTAGAAGTTACCGGTAATTTGCCAGAGCCAACGTTCTCGGGATCGCCCACGTAACAAAAAATTAAAAAAAAAATAAAAACACGGCATTGTGCTACATCCCATCTTGTAAGGTCTTGGGTAAATAACGAGAATCCATTTCGCACTTTAATTTTCAATCAAATTTGTACCATCACCAGTATCGCATCATTTCACCCCCAAACAAAGCCATTAAGACAAGAGTTTACTGAGGGTGAAAGACAAGAAAAAACATTAAAGGGAGCGAACAATAAAAGCCGAAACAATTAAGACAGAAGATAATTTCAGTCTTATCATTTGACAGCGGCTGAGAGGGAAGACGAGCTGTTAATAAATGTGCAAAGCAGAATTAAAATGACTAATTCCAATTTACAATCTTGAGTTTTTTCTTGCTGAAACCTGCAAAGTACAATTGAAACGCTTTTAATGAGCATCATAATCTCGAACAAATTTTGACGATGTTATGATCATTAATATGATGCATTTCGTGATTCATTTGTGCTTACCTGTTTGCTAGAGAGGGTGATAATTTTGCTGAACAATGTCCACACAACGGCTTCAGAACAAGGAGGAGTAGTTAAACTGCCAAGATAGCGAAAATAATGGTCCAAATGATCCAGTGATCCAAGCATTTCTTCTATGCTAAATGCTCCCGATTGTGCAGCTGACAAAAAATAAATAAATAAATAAAAATAAAACAAAGAAGAAACGCATAAGTAGAAAGCAGCGTAACGTCTAAACGATCTCCATTTCTAGTCTATCCTCTATTATTAAACGGACCGCTCTTCTCGTCTCTTCACTATACTATTTCTCTAATCGGTGGTTACTTTTCGAGCGAGTATTGTCGAGCAAGGACTATTAGTGCTAGATTATTGGAAGGCGTCTGACACTAGTATTGTTCAACAGCGTTACTATGGTTGCATCTTCTCACTATTACGAAAGTGACGAGTATTTGTTGGCATCACAAAAGTGGCAACGAGTGTTCCGTGACATCACAATATATTTTTTCTGTGATTAACGTGGTCATTCGTATTTTTATCAATCAAGCCTGCTACAGAGATTCGACTTGGTTGAAATATACACGATCATGCTACATTAAATTCGATATTTCTTTTGGATATTTTTAAGACAATTCGTGGTTAGAATCAAAAGTATTGACATTTCTGGGGAGCAAAAGGTAACAGCTCGTAACCTACCTAACGAGTTCATGTAAATGTATTGCAGAACAGGGATTGTTGGAAGTTATTGATTTGTTTACGGTTTATTTCTGCTAATTAACCCATAGCTGGGGGAAGAGAAGTATTCAAACTTTTTCAAAGGGTATTTGCGCCTAAGTGAATTTAGCAAGCCCCACTGGAATTGTAACTGCTCTCCGATTTCATCACTAGCTACTGACCAGAATCGACGTTGCTTAAAAATCAGTGATTGTACAAGAACTGGTGTTTCAACGTGATATGGTTGTAAGCGAGAAGGAGTAAATAGACAAGAATTGCTTAGAGCTAAAATGCATAGAAATTGTAAAGGGAAAGAAAGATTGATTTTATATTTAGTGTAAGAAAAAAAAAAAAAAAGGAAAAAAAAAAGCACTTTATATTCAAAAACAACCACCATTACATCTATAGATCAAATGAATGTTATTACCAGATGTGGCAAACATCGGAAGATGACCGGAGAATATAGTGGCCCAAAATATAACAAATACGTTGATTTTCAGGAGAGGCAGGCTATAACCCATTTTGAATATTGGCGGAACAATCTTCCTCTTCTCTTTATATAGTCATATGCTAAACTAGATTACAAAAAAACAAAACAAAAAAAAAAAAACAAAAACAAAAACAAAAACAAAAAAACAAAAACAAAACTTACTGTTACCAGCTTGTGGTAAATTGTTTAAAAATTTATTCATTGCAGGGTTTTCGTTTCCAACCTGAAAACAAGATAGGAAATAATTAAACATTTGACACATTTATATGGGCGAAAAATTTACTTTTGAACAAATTTAAAGGGTTTCTCATCCGTATTTGTTCCCTAAGACACCTGGAAATATGAAAAAAAAAAAAAAAAAAAAAAAAATCACAAACACAAAAACTAAATCAGTCAGTTATGTGCCATGCGTGATACACGCTTAGTCGATCACGTATCTTTCGATGCATAACTGACGAGGCAAATTTTTTTTCCCCGTAGTAGGTTGCCATTTCTTTCTACGGTAGACCAGTTGCCATCCAAGGCTATAGAACCCGGTCTGTCCTGCTAATTATCCATAGCTGGTGGTGGGGAGAAAAAGAGGTTTCATACCTTTCCCAAGGTTATTAGAACGTAAATTAATGTAATGGATTCGACTGGAATTTGAACTCGGCTCTCTGATTCCCGATTCCGAGCCGTTATCCAACTCAGAGATTCTGTAAAATCGGCAAAAACTAAATGAAAAGAGTTTATTTTAGTGAAATTATATTCACCCTGTAGATGGCCCAAGAATCACTCGAGGTAGAGGTTTACAGAGTAAGATGCACAGATGTGTGCGGAAGATTGTAGGGATCAGGGAAGCATCCTTTTGGGAGTAGACTCCACAAAACAGCGTTTCGTGGGGAAAAAAGCTGCTCGAGTAGAATTTACATCTCACCAATGGATTACGAAAGGAATGAGGATGGTTCGCTACAATCTGCATGGTATCGTGGATTTTACCTATGAAGGTTACAGCTGATGGAAATAGCCATAGAACAGCGAAAGCCTGGTGAATGTCTCGTCTGTGAGAAAGGTATTGTATCTTGAAATGACTTAAGACTAAATATTTTAATTATATATATATATATATATATATATATATATATATATATATATATATATATATATATAGTGTGTGTGTGTGACTGAAAAGAAATTATATATGATGGACTCTCCCGTCTAACTATAATTTTTTTTTTTTCCAAGATGGAAGAGTCCATTAAACATAAATTAGGGAGTTATTTATCAATCACTGTATATCAGGACTCAGGCGAATAATCGGAACTTTTGCTGATGAAATCCCTCAAGTTTGTTTATGACACGGCTTTACAGGGAACATGACCTCGCACCCGATAAGTTACGATCATTAACTAGAATGACTGTCATCATCTTCGAGAAAGGCAATAGCCTGACAGTGACCATTATCAAACACCACCTTCGTGTTATGCATAAACACCGACAGTCTACAGTGCCGAGTCCTTTACAGTGAACTCCATACGAGGCAATGAGTCGACGTCTGACTTTTGTAGGCTATAGGGAGAAACTGAAGACATCCAACCGGTATCGATTCTAACGGCCAGACGTATAATACGTGTGGAAAAATGTTCTACGCAGGGATCGTTCTAGGCAGCCAACAAAAGCATAATCATGGAAACTGAGAAAAGGAGAACTATAGCAAACAAGAAAAAACACAAGAGAGAAAAAAAAAAAAAAAAAAAAAAAATGAAGGCCATCAAGTGTCTTAAACGAACTTCAGTTGATTAATGTAATGTCTTCAATGAAAAGGTAATTACCTCGAAAAAGAAACCCAGTACAGCCAGACCATCTTTGTGTTTCAAAGCCTCCGTTACATTAGGGTATTTTTCATTCATATGAACAATATGAACCTGAATTGGAAAAACGAGGAAAATAGTCAGTTTAAAAAAAAAAAAAAAAAAAAAAAAAAAAAAAAAAGCCCCCCCAAAAAAAACAAAAAGTCAAGAAAAACAACTAGGGGGGGAATACAACAAATACAACAAGGGAATACAACAAGGGGGGATACAACAACTGGGGTAAAGTTTCAGAAAATAAATAATTTCGTAAACCATTAATGGCGTAGGCGTGGCACCACATGTACAACAGTGCTGGTGTCCCTAAAATATCCTTGCGGCGCCCATCTCTCACTTTAGGGTGGTTTTGAATTCAAAGTTTTCCTTCCTCTAGTCTGGTTGCCACTTCAAGGTAAGGCAGTTCAAAGTAGAGAAAGTAGAGATGTGGAGGACTGATTCATACCCCATTCCCGAAGGGTATTTTCGCAAAAGTAAACCACGAATTCAGTCAGAACTTGAACTCTTCCAGAGTCGTTAACCGTTGCACTACCCGTACAACCTAGCCCCGAAAGTGGCAGAAAATGACAGAGACGTAGGTGGAGAGAGAAAAAAAATCGATGTCATCAATAGAAAATTAAGTTTGTCTGAATAACTTTTGTCCCTTTGATTTCTTTAGATATTTAAGCTTAGAGAAAAAATTGCAGACAGCTTCCTTGTTAATAAAAAGAAGAGACAATGTGATTTTAAATTTTAATAGCTTTCAACGGTTGATGGGTAACTCGAAAATGTTTCCATGGTTCAAAGTTCAAACTTTGTGTTTAAGTTCAAATCTGAATTTTAGACCAAAACATGAAGAGTAGTCTGTTCTACGAATCAACTTGCTTCTCATGTTGAATATCCTTTTTCAATCGTGAAGGAGGACAACAAAAAAACAAAACAAATTAAAACAAAACCACCACCTTTCTTGAATATTTTCTACATTTCAACGCACTAACCGACTTTTCACACGATCGGTTTGTCTTTGTTTTTTCTTTTTAAAGTTTCAGGTGTGTTCATGCAATGTGGGTATGAATCACATAGGCAATGATACGAAACAAAAAGCATTATGACCTGTCCTTCCTGCCTCAGTCGTTTTTTCTTTTAAACCGATAACTAATTTCGGTGCAAACATTTCTATGAAATTCTTGTTTCCTTTAAACGGTCTCAACAACAAACGGCTTTAAAGAAGTTAATTCACAAATATTTTTAGTGCTTGTATGCATCTCCTGGGTAGTGTAGTCTCGATTGTATTTGTGATGGAGGCTGCTAATATGCCATGTATAAAGCCTTTTTCATAATCAGTGTGGTTGAAATTGTGATTATGAAAGGTTTCCGACTATATCTCTGACATGAGGTATTATGATTATCTACATTATTCGGACTGTTATCCTAATCTTCATTGCTATATATCACAATGGCCCAGTGGAGTTAGATCCAGTGACTAGCGCCATTGAGTTCTGAGTTCAATACCAGGCTACAGCAGTGGTGAACCAAAAAACTTGGAAAGTTGAGTTAAAGGGAAATAACTAAGAAGATTCCAATCAACGGTCGAAAATGAATAAGAGTCCGAATATTGTAGATTCGGAAAAAGGTTTCATATATAGGATTTTAGCAGCCACCATCACAAATACAATTACAGATACACGCTTAGGCGATCATGTATCGAAAGATACATGACTGACGAGGTAGATTTTTTCCCCGCAGTAGGTTGCCATTTCTTTCTGCGGTAGACCAGTTGCCACTATCTGTCCTGCTATTTAATTTACCCATAGCTAGTCGGGGGTGAAGAAGAGGATGCATACCTTTCCACAAGCATATTAGCACAAGTGAATGTAATGGATTCAACTGGAATTCGAACTCGGCTCTGATTCCTCAATCCGAGCCGCTATCCATTACTCCACCGTGCTTCCTGATTAGAGGTACCTGTGGAAATTTAACAGTTTTACTTTTATTTTCATTGAAATTAATAGTTTTGAGGTGTCCTAACTCCATGGAAAGTAAAAACGTTAGATGAGCACTTGATGGCATAATTATATTCTTTCGAAGTTCTATCTCCGTGATTGTTTGACAGCAAGACCAGCAATACGATAGAATAGCAAGACAGAACGGTTGTTTAAACTAAGGGATTAACTAATGAAGGTTTTCCTATTTTCATTTTCTGTTGAATCTTAATACTCAAGTTAATGAGTGAATAAGCACATGGCGAGTTCTACGACAATAAAATATCCGTAAAAATTCCCTTATCGCATTGTTAAAAATTCAAGCTTAACAACCAACTAAATATTGCAATAACAATCATAAATATGAATGCTGGTCGTTATTTTAAGAAGTGAGTACAAATGAAAAGATTTGAAATTGGCAACCTTTTCCATTTCACTGAGACAGGCGTTAAACACTTTCTGAAATCAAGTAATGCCTTTCAGGTCTTTCCACGCAATCAAAATGGAATAGTCCATCATTTATTGGGGGGGGGGTATTGGTAGGATACGTCTAACGTTTCTTTCATTTTCACTGAAATCAAGTAGTATTCCCAATGTAATTTCCGTATTTTCGTGGTCAAAAATGGAATAGTCCATTATTTATGAGGTATTGGTTGGGCGTAACGGTCGTGTGAACTAACTAACGAAGAGAATGACCAGCAGAATTATGACGTTTTTCTACTTGACATCAAGTGAAAAAAATGTAAAGAAAAGTAGTCACTCGTTTTTTGAAACCGGGTTGTCATAGTAACGACTTCTTTTTTAGTTAGGTTTTGAAAAATGTTTATATAGACTAACGTCAAACGTTAGTAAGAAAATTCAACATTCAACCAGTTTTCACACCTTCCACTAATACAGAATTTATAGTTTGGTAAATAAAATTTGCAATAAAAAAAAATCCATACTTTGATGAGATGTCAAGATAGTAGTGGTCAAGAAAGCATCCTCTTGGGAGAAGATTCCAAAAAGTAGCAGTTTGTGGGAAGAAGCTGATAGAGTAGAACTGCCTAATGAGGATGTGACAATTCCGTGCACATGGCATAGTCGGTATTAGCTGGCAGGGTTAGAGTTGCTGGACCTAAGAAATGTAACTCTTCAGAATATTTGCCAGAGAAATAGCGATAAAGTGGGGAGAGGCTACGCATCTGTGAGAAAGGGGGAGGCTGTAGGGTGGAAAATAATCACCCACAAGGTCACGTAGACGCTTTTGAACTATCAAAAAAAGAGTGAAGTATGGGCAGTGACAACTCAGATAAGGTGGAGGTATTGCATATTCAGTTTGACTTTCTCTTGTAAAAGACAAAGCATAGTGGGGGGGGGATCATTTATACTATTTGCATTGTTTGCACTGTTGTCATTTTTACTTTCATGGAGTTTCGGCCTGTGTACGCTCCGGCCTTCTTCAGGTGATAAGTTGGAATTTCGAACAGAAAACCATTTAGTTTACGGTGTTGTAGATTGTTCTAATTCTATGCCTTTGGATATCAGTTTTAGCCAAGTTTTTATAAGTCCTAAAAATTCACTCACTAGCGTACTCCAAGGACAAATGGCCTAGTAGATAAAAAAGGAAAAAAGTGACTTAATTCAAAGAGCCGAGGGTTCAAAAGTTGGAGTTATCCAATGACATGGTACGGGGAATTAGAATAATTTATCCCAGTGAACTAAAAGGTTTCGGTTCGAAGTTCCAACAAATATCACCTGAAGAAGGTTGGAGCGCACAACGGCCGAAACGTCGTGAATGTGACGGTAATGATGAGGACAACAGTCCGGACAAAGTAAATAGTGTAAATAGTTACAATACCTCATCTCAGAAATATAGAGAGATAACAGGAAAAGTCAGGTACTTATTAGAAAAGGAAAAAAAAAACAAAAAACAAACAAACAAAAAAACAAACAAATAAACAAACAAAAACAAACATTTTTCCATCATCTTCAGCGATAGATCCTATATACGAGTTACATTTAAAGTCTGGGTGTGAGCTAGAGTCATGACAGGCGAAAATTCATTGTTTGCTCAGTGCTGATGGAACTATGTTAGTTTGGTTTTTGAGGCACTAAATGTGATCAGACCTAACAAATCCCCACCTCTGTGCTGTTAGAGCACGGTCATAGAAGAGATCAGCTGACAGGCTCTTGTCATCTAGATTTTTAGAGTGTACCCGTATACCGTTGTATCATTTGAACAGATATCCCCTAAAGATCGGAGTATACTCTTAGGCAGATAATTTATGTAAAATAGAAAGCGGATTGGACCAAGAATTGGACCATGGGCTTCGGAGGACTGGCCATTAACAGCGACCTTCATGAACCTAACCATTGGGACAATCACGAAAACTAACAGTGATTCCATAGCTGGACAGCTTGTGTAGCAACCCCCTTATGCCACACCTTGTCAAAGGTCTTAGATATATTTAAAGCAATCATCTCTGTCTCACTATCTACTTTATATAAATGATCAGCCTAATAGCATAGCCCGATCTTTAAATGAATTTGTCTAATGTTTTACCGATTGAGTAATGACAGGATACCATCAGCCGACTTAGCAGAGCAAAATCCATATTTGTTGTTCAGAAGATTGTCCCTGTTGAGAGTGGTCAACAATCTTGCTGATTGTCGCAAAGAACTTGCTGATGACACTGGGGAGGCCATATTGCAACGTAGACAAACGCTCACCTGCATTCTTTAAAGCACGGCTTACACTTGACACATTCCATAGATTTGGGAATGATTTCTTTTAGGCAGCGGTTAAACAACGTCGGAAATAACTCGGGGCTAATGTTCCTAAGGACATCGGAGATAACTCAGGCTAATGTTGATGCTATGTATGACATCCGCATGAAAGTCTAAATCTGATGAGGATACTTAAGAGTATCAATCTAGTTCTTAGACTAATGTTTTGGTTTTAACAAAATCGCAAACTTATTGTATTTATAAATAAACGCAACTCATGATAGCATTGAATACATCAGCGGTTGCTTTGTAAGGCTTTCTTACCTCTAGAGGATAGGCTTTGTTATTCAGAATATGCTCAGACCCTTCTCCGTTCTGGTTATGGCTCCAATGGAAATGGAATTGGAGGGCTTTGTAAACACCTGGAAGACCGCCATTCTTGGCAGTCGCTCTGTAGCCGATATTCAACTGAACTGCAAACGATAAAATAAAAAGAAAATTAAAAGAAATTTAATTAAACGATTCTCTTTCTCAAGTCACGTAGACTAAGTTTGGAAGTACATGTCCACCACATCAGTTCACAAGGCGTTGCTGACATTTGTTATAGCAAGTACTTTTTTTAAAAATAATTTCACCCCAAGGAAGGCAATAAAGCCACCAAGACGCAAAGGGTAGTAGGGTTACTGAGTGTTAGAGAATGAGGAGGAATAAAAGACATTAAGGAGCAAAGATAAGAATAACGATTAAGAAGATCAAACTTGACAGGCAAGTAAGAAACTGGAATAATTCTACAAGCGAGAAGTGCAATAGAAGAAACTGTTAGCATAGAACTTACGGTTACATCTAAACATTTCAATTGCAAAATGATGAAACCTTGCCGCCAATCTAGTTCTGCGTTAAAATTGGTCTAAGCAGAAGTATAGAAGAAAACTCAGCAGAACTATGAAAGTATTGATAGAAAAAGGCGCAGGGTAGCGACGTTATGGCGGTGGGGGAAACGACTGAAGCCTAAACGTCAGGACTGGTAATATTGCAGATTCTTTGTATTTTGTCAAGAATCTGCCGATACATGGCAGAAGCATTAAACCAGAAGTGGCAACAACATTTAATGCCGGTCCGAATGATAGATTCATTCTGGCGGGAAAATTTTTAATATTTATTCTTAGTTTGGAATACTGTCACATTAATTAAAAAACGAATCTCATTCAGTGACATTTTATTCATTTATTTAGAAAACACGAGAAAATGTAAAATATACGAAGTGAGCCATGCACCGAGAAATTAGAACACCATGAGATGTAACCTCGAACTATGGCAATGCCCAGAAATATCGACGGACTGGAAATATTAGAAACCGAAGCGAAAGTTGTACTGGCCAAACTGAACCGAAACAAAGCGGTAAGAAGAAACGGTATTGTAATAGAGATGCTGGCAGCTTTAAATGATTTCGGCATTGACAAGGATTACAGAAATTAAGTCTACAAAAGTGGCGATATACTGGAACTACTAAGTAAAACTATTTTCATAACACTGCCTAAGAAGCCAGGTGCAAACGAATGTGAACTCCATCGGACAATGAGCAGCATAACAAAACTCCTCATCCGAATTCTGATGAATAAAGTGCGCAATAGAATCAGACCGGAGATAGTTTTTCAGAGACACTGGAACAAAGAACGCAATATTTATGCTATCAGAAAGAACAATGCAAATTCACAAGGACGTGTATCTGTTCGATAAAGTACGCCAGAAAAAATCTGCTAGAACTGCACAGAAACCATGAGATATTTTGGAAGGATATTAGAAATACTATGAACCTATGCTGGCATCAAACCAGCTGTATACCGATAGAAAATGAGTTCAGATATACAAAAATAGAAAGGGGTGTTAGACAAGGAAGTGTCTTTTCCCCGAACGTATTCAACCGATACAGGGAAGAGATTATGAGAGAACTATAAGTCGTACCAGAAATTATTATTGGCGGCCACAATCTTAATATGAGATGTGCTGATAGCAGACACGAAAACAACCAAAACCAACAAAACCTCTGACAAAAGATAGTGAAGGAAAGCTATAAAGAAATTACTCAAGAACTTATAAGACAGAATGCTTGGTTGTTAGTAAAAAGATGAGTCTAAATTATAAATTACAATATAAAATTATAAGTTTAAATATCTTGGAAGTGTTCAAACAGAGGACGAAAAGTGCGACGCTCATAACCGAAGACGCACTGGGATAGCCTAAGATGCATTCCAAAAACTAAGCAAAATATTAAGAGACAGAGAAACTTCGTTAAAAACCAAAAAACAAAAAAAAAAAAAAAAAAAACACAAAAACAGAAAAAAAAAAATATTACTGAACTGTCACGCGATATCTGTCCAACTGTATGGTAGCGAATACAGAACAATCTCCTCAAATATGAAGAAATATGCAACAACAGAAATGTGGTTCTACAGAAGGACGCTGAGGATACCATGGACCGAATATGTGAACGTAAAGATTTGAGAAAATAGAAACAAAAGGAAACTCATATTTAACACTAGGAAGAGACAGTTGAAATTTCTGGGGTACGTGATGAGGAAGGAGGGTTTGGAAAAACTGATACTCACAGGAGAGTTTGAAAGCAAGAGGGACAGAAGAAACAATGCATGACATGCTTAGTGAGCTTGAGTAAATAGATGGTGGGGTAGGGTTTAAGAGAAATAATGAAAAGACAATATTTTTTAAGAGTTACAAAGGATAGGAAATTGTGGAGAGTCATGATCGCCTATGTCCTGAGGAGACACGATGCATAAAGATACTAAAATCTTAACTGATGCGCGCCACCCCCCTTGATTTGCTGATGTTAGTCAACGAGTGTAGGTCGAAATGAGTTGTTAAATCACCCATATCTGAATGCTATTTTGAATGCACTAGTCTTCCATTTTATTAATAGTCCAGTTCATGCCTTATAGCGTTGCTAGATTCTTCGTTCCACACCAGTAAATATTTATTAGTTCTAATGAATTAGAAATTTAAAGTTGTTTTTATGTCACTATACTTTCTTAAAAGATCCGAATTAATATTTATTTTGATACTAAAGATAAACCAGTAACAAGCTCGAGAGCCACTCAAAATAGGAGTATAAGTGAATAGCGAAACGAAAATGAAAATGATGTTCTCTTGCGAAAACAAGGACACTATTTTTCTTAAAAAAATGCCATGCTTTTTCAGGACGTATGTGATCATGCCCACCCAGTAGAATCCTTTTTCTTTATTATTTATGAAGTCTGGAATTTTCTTTCTCTTTGACCCATTGCCACGCAAGGTAAAAGCGTGCACTACTTTTTATAGCTGGGAGTTGAAGAGAACAGAGGAATTCAGGTCTTTCCCCAAGGGCATTTGTGAGAAAGTGAACTGCTAGGCTCGAACTCTGATCGCCAATTCACTAAAAGATTAACGTAATACTCATGAAGTTATAGACGGATTTGGCTGAGGCTAGAATAATTACTATATGGCAGCGAATATTGGACAATCTTCTCAAAAGATGAAGAGACTTGAAGCAACAGAAGCGTAGTTCTACAGTAGGATGCTGACGATACCATGGACTGAATATCTGAACAACGAAATTTTAGAGAAAAATGGAAACAAGAAGGAAACTTATACTTAACATCTGGAAGAGGCAGTTAATGTTTCTAGGGGACATAACGTGGAAAGACAGGACAGATTGAAGGCAAGAGAGGAAGAGAAAAACGCATAACAGTGAGCTTGAGTGAATTGACGGCGAAACAGGATTTAGAACTAACAAAATGACAGTTACGAAGCACAGGAAATTGTGGAGAGCCATGATCACCTACGTCCTGAAGGAACAAGGCACATAAAGAAGACCCGTATCTTAACTCAGCACCCAATTTAGGTGCAGTCAGGAATTCGTCATAATTGCTCTAAAAATTGATAACCCAGGTAATTTTTGACAGCTACCCACACTCGACATTGTATCAATGGATGTGCATAAATGATGATTTCTGATTCGCCCACAAATATTACCACGTTAAAATAAACAACCAATCAATCTCACTTTTTACATTATCCATACATAAATCAAAAATCCTTCACTTAAGCCAGTGTGAGCCCAGTAGAATTTGTTATAAAAACTATGAAGAATCCGAGAGCCGAGTTCGAATGCTAGCAGAGTTCAGTACATTCACTTATGTAATACCATTGAGAAATCATATTCAGTACTTGCTGTCGCCTCTTACGTTCATATCATACCTCATTCAGTAACCATCTACCTTGAGTGGCTTTCGGGTCTTGCATTCAATAAACATTTAGTAAAAAACCAAGCAAACAAAGTACACTTCTATCAACATGATAGACATGGCCAGAAATGATTCTAACCATATAATTTAGTGAATTTAACGGTTTCGAATTAGAATTGATGAATAACGAATCCTTCTCTTCTGTCTCTCCATCTTTGAGTAAAATAGCAGAACAGACTGGGTCCTAGTATTCAAACCACCTTTAGGTAAAGAAGGTGTTATGCCCCGAGCGACTATGTGGACTTGCACGCACGTGTATAAATGCGAGAACGGAACTTGGGGAGAACGCAAAAGGCCATATTTAGCAGTCATCTGAGGAAATACAGTAACAATCTGCATCTGGACTTACTCTAAGAGCGACTGAATTCAACAAAGTAATAGACACATAACAAAAGGTAATTAAAAAAATAAAAAATAAAAAAAATGGACGGGGTAACGTCAACAATCCGGTGCAAAAGAAACACGTAAGCAATTGCACAATTCGTCCTTAAATGCCACCATGAACCAAAATTGTGAGAAGTCCTGGGTATAACGATAAACTACATCCGGCAGCAAGGAGATCGTGCAACCACCTCTTAATTGGTGTTGTTCCCAAGTCCACCCTGACCCGGGGTGCTATCAGCTGTTAGGGTCATAGCTTTGGCAAAATAGTGTTCCCCGCCACAAAAAAGTATATATCACCTTTTTATATAAAAATTAGCAACAACACATTTTATCTGTAGTCGAAGTCATACAATTGCGTTTAAACTATATTTAGTTGAAGCCATAAAATCGTATTGAAAATATTTAGATTTCGGCATTAAATAATTCATAGAGACGTTGATATGTCGCTAAACAAAATTAACAATTGTGAGGAGAGGAGTGGTCTCCATAGCGGCGCTAAGCAAATAAAATGAATCATTGTGATAGAGATAATGAAACAAATCTTTCAAGTATTACTGGTATATCTGGGCTGGCGCTACTCAATCTTCATTTCCCAGCCTTGACAGATTACAAAAAGCCTCTACGCGCCCTTATGAACGATTGTTTTCCCCATCCTACAACCCTTTTCCCCACAGACGAAATATCGCCAGTCTGTTGCTATTTCCACGGCAAATGTTCAGACGAGAGACATTTCTTCGTTTCACCAGTTCAGACGCGATAGTTAGATCCTGCCATGCCACATCCAAATAAATGAATCATCCTCATTCCCTTGTTAAGAGAGAACTTCCACGCAGAGAGCTTCTTCCACAAAATCGCGATGATGCTTCCCATGATTACTATAATCTTAAACTCTTCAAGTCTGGGGTCAACTGTTATCTAACATATCCGCACTTACTGTCACTTACGTTCATATCACATACTTCAGTATCTCTCTACCTCGAGTGGCTCTCGGAATTTATATTTGGCAAGCATTTAGTAAAATCGAACCCTCAAGCAAACAATGTACACTTCTATCAACATGACACACCCAGAAATACTACTAGGCAATGATTCTAACCAGGCATTTGAGTTGATTTAACGGTTTCTACATGACAGACAAAATTCAAAGTTGTCAGATCGTAAGATCTGGTTTTTACCGGACAACTTTAAAGTAAAGACAAAAAAAAAAAATTGCGGAGGCGGACGCATTTGCTACTTGGTTAATCCGATAACAGAGTAAAATGGATTATTACGATCTCACTTGTCTTATGGAGTCATAGATAGCAGCTTACCTCGTTCGACGGAATGTTTACAGCGGGACCTTTCACTCAAAAGCTAAAGAAATGCATTACAACTTACTTGTATGTCCATTGTTGACAATGTCGTAATTTGTTTTGGTTTTATAGCCAGTCAGATCAATTTTTCCCAGATTGGAGACATATTTTGCATTTGATGCCTTGATATGAACGGGGCTTTGCGCTTTACCGTTACATGATGGAAAGGATTTCCCCCAATTCATTGGATCTGAAAAGAAATTTAAACAAGATTAAAATTAAAACGTCAGAGCATAGGATCTTAATGAATTATGTAATTTAGTTTCGCCTATCGCCCGGTTCACACTCATCTGCCTTTTTGAATAAGAGTAGAGGTTTATCGCTTGTTTCCCCTTTAGGATTGGGTCTCCGAGTCCTTTTAAAGTCTACTTCAACAGCAAATTTCTAACGTCTCCGTCTAAACGCTGAAATTTTATTTACCATTTATTTTGCTCCGCGATAGGAGTAAATAAGTTCGTCTATAGTCAGATTCGCACTCCTCCAGTCTTATGAACAGTAGTGGAGGTTTGTCCATTGTTTTCTGTTTAGAAGGAACCTGGAACCCAATCCTAAAGTGTTTTTATTCTCTTTCCCACCCAGTAGTCCTTTGCATCTTCGTGGCATTATCGCCTTACAGTTAGTTTTTGTTTTTCTACTCTTGGCAATTTCAAAATGATTGAAGATAATATTTTAATTTTAAGATTAAAAACAGTTTAAAAATATCTAACCCAGTGTTTCCTCAGCATTTTTAAGCAATGGCACACCTAAGAGCAGATGCAAATATCACGGCACACTTAGCAAAGTTTTTAACGGGTATACATTTAAAAAGGTTATGAAAAAAAAAAAACATAGGCTTAAAAAATACACACAAATAGGAACTTAGTTTATTTCAGTGTTTCTAGTCAACTATTTGTGCAGCTTATTTAATGTGAAACTGGTGTCTGGTATTTTTGGCGATTTCTTCAATGTTTGGTCGAACGTGCGATAAGCAGACCCTCATTTCTTCATTTGACAATATTTCGCGGCACACTTAAGAGGCTTGCTTCTCACAGCAGTTGAGAATCACTGATCTAGTCGAATACCGATCCAGGGCAAATTAAATTGTAACAGAAGTACGATTAACGATATACAATTTCTGTATAGATGACATTTTCTAAACTTCTGTTAATCTCGAAAATCCACTTGGATTATCTTCTCTAGACATATCTACATAAAGCTATGAGAGAAAAACTTCAATTTTCTAATGATCGTATTAAGACTACCACTACTACTACTTTTGAGCCGCGAGGGATGCGCTTCTGTAGAAGTGTGTAGGCCTTTCCGTCGTACAGATTTGTCCACCAATAACAAATTCGCGCCAATGGTCTCACAGATTCACACCCATCCCCACCACCAAGGGAGAGAGGATGACGATCCCGATTATCGGATGCGAGCGGGTGCAGACAAAAATAAAAAAAAAAAATAATCTAATGCCTTGTGTAATCTATGAAATATAGGTTTAGACTTTCTAGCAATTGCTCTGATAACATTTCGATCACAAAAATGCTCCTAATCAAAGTCGATCACAAAAATTATATTTCATGTCCCAGTATTTTAAAAACAGACGAACATGGTTCTTGTCTCATAACCCGTTTACTGTAACTCCGATTCCTCAATCAGAGTCGCTATACATTACTCCACCGTGTCTCAGTTCTGAAGATCACAAATAAGTATTTCTAACAAGCATAGCCTATATCCTGCTCAGAGATTTGTCCATTTTTTTTTTTGGGGGGTAATAGCCGTTTTGTTTATTTGAGTGTAAACAAGAAAAATATAAAAAAGAATGGCATCCTTCGCTTACTCATCAGTTATGTCTAGTCATGTGATTATGAAACAAATCACAGTCAAAAAGATCTTTTTTTTAAATAATAATGCCCGACTACTCGTTTTTGAGCACAACAGTGTGCTAGGACGACCAGACCACCTCGGTTATCTAGTCGCCCTAGCATGTGTCTGCACAGGGACAAAATTATGGTTCAAACTACAAGTATGCTGAGTGACCTTAGTTTCTGGGAGTGAGCGCATAATCTGGCACGAACGACAGTCTGAACAAAGCCAGTATGCTCAAAGCCTTGGTCACGATGACTTGTGACTTCGTGCTAGTACAACAATTGACGGCTTCTGAACAGTTCTGTCACAGCATTAGTCAACCTGTGGTATGACACTTTCCGACAGTGCTGCATGTTGGGATCGCTGCACAAGCAGGTAATACTGAAGTCACCTTCCTGACATGGGGAAATTTGAACCAGAGTTTCAGGATTCTAAAGCGAACATTCGAACGACTGCCACACGCTCAAATGATAATTCACTATCCTATAAAGCTGAAATTACATTAGAAAATATTAAAGATCTTTGGAAAAAATTCCAGTCATTCTCCAGATCTGGCTGCATATGATTATCACATATTTCAGATCTTTCGGAACTACCTTGATGGAGTACTTAACACGCATGAAGAGAAAATTACTGTGCATTTTCTGTTTCCCCCCACCAAAGCAAGATGAGAGTGCCACTAGCAGGGGTTACAAAAAATGGGAGCAAGAGTAAAGAGGCGTGAAAGAGGAAAGGATGAAGAGAAGGACGGGGAATTAGATCAAGGTATCTGGAGATGTCGATTGACATTGCATTTGAATAATTGAAGATTATAGCTATCAGAGAAGCAAGTAAGAGAGAGTTCCACAGGTGGGAAGTGCGAGACACGAAGCTATTGGAGTAGAAGAGACGGCTAGATTTAACAGTTTTGACAGTGGAAGGGTGGGACTCAGATGCCACCCTAGTAGCACGCTTAAATTCATGCAGTTTGGGAACTAGCGAAAGTAGCTCGTCGCCGCAATTACTGTGAAAGTATTTGTAGAAAAGACAGAGGGAGACGACTGTAAACGAGATGCCAGATCAGGGCCAATCACATTGCATATCAGTCTCTGGATTTTGTCGAGGACCTTAAGACGAACAGCGGGATCTCCAGACTATATATGGCAGTAGTATAAAGACTTTTACAAAAAAGACTTTCGGAATCGTTGTAATAGGTTACTGATATCGATAAAATATTTTATCGAAACAATATCTTTTTTGATGACACTATATAACGCATTTTATCGTGCTTAGAAACAAATCAATCGATGCCAGGTGAAGGTGTCACCCAGTTTGCGGTCAATATTCAAACGTACTAGCAAACAGCCAGTTTTCTAACTATTGTTTGTTCAGAAGAAAGCAATATTTAGTCAGTGGTCTTCAGTGGACATCAAAAAGGCTACATAAAGATAGTGATTACCCCAATAGACGGATGTACTTCGATAAAAAAAAAAAAAAAAAAAAAAAAAAAAAAAACGAAAGCAGTTGTTTATTTGTTTTACAAACAGTATCTTCACCTCATGTTTAAACATTTGTATAGCTTCAGACGGCCGAGTTTTGAATTCGGAGTTGTCTTTCTTTCCATAGCTAAAGAGGCAATCAACCCTGGCATTTAACCCATAGCTGGGGGAGAGGAAATAAAAAGACTATGGGCTAAAAATACAAAAAATGTAACTGTTTTAGGCTATTGCTGTCTGGGCAGGCAAGGTATAGCTCGAGCAAGTACTCAAGTGTCCACTCTTTGCCCTGACAACCATTGGGACATATCAGTGAAGAGACAAATCTCAAGATGCTATGAAGCACAGAAAGAAATAGATTAGTGTCTTAATTACAGGTTTTAGTGCGAAAATGAACACCTTCAACCAGAAGTTGAGATAGGTGCTCTTCAGCCGTAGCCTCGGTCAGGACTTTAAGCAGTCAAGCTTAATTACGGCTTATCAACCCTTTATAGCTTATTTAAAGCCAGAAAATGTTTTAGATTTTAATAATTTCTTTTGAGATAATGATTTAGTGATACAATACTAATACAATAATCCATAGTTGGGAGAGAATGTGAATTGATATCTAATAAGGATTTGATAATAAAGGGGAGGCTCAATTTTATATTACAATCACTAATATAAACTGATCCCTCACTTCATGGCCACGGCAGTTTCTATACATTTATATTCCAGAAAATGTAAATAAATCTAAAAGACATGCCTGTGAAGCTAATTTCATTCATCCTTTGCAGGTCAGAAGATATTTTAGATTGCAACATTTTTTTTTTTTTTTTTAGATAGTGATACAAGATTTACTAAATGACCCATAAATGTAGAAAAAGAGGTGGTTTCATATCTTTACCAAAGGTATTTGAGCATAAGTGAATAAAAAAAATCCCAATTGGAATTGGAACACGACTCTCCTATTAATAATTCCGAGCCATTATCCTTTACACCACCTGCACATCCAAGCTTACAGTACCTGGTATTCCCAAGCGGTCACCCATCTAAGTACTGACTAGACTCAACGTTGCTTTATTCAGACGAGAACTGGTGTTTCAACGTGATATCGCCATAAGCTTAACTGAGAATGTCGAATGAGAAAATCAGAATTTCATGTGAAGATTAAACCCTCACTCTACGGTAGACGCCCAATTCTGACAAGGGCCATGACAATTCCATAGATAACAAAGTACACATACCGTCATAACCCCAATCTGAAAAAGAAAAAAAAAAAGAATGGTATTAGCATTTATGTAAACATTGCACCATTCCGATCACATTTAGAAATCAATATCTATTCGCAATAATAGCTTCATTCAGTTTGCAATACAACATTACAGATACAAAGGCAATCGTAATTTTGATAAGCAAAAAAAAAAAAAAAAAATTTATAAACAACATTGGCAGCGGGGAAGAAGTAGGCCTGAAATCCGTATGATTATAGATTCTGCTATTGCTAACGTAAGTTTATCTTAGACTAACACAAAGATACCAATGTAGGTCACGAACGTAGATCGAACTCGCAATTTAGAATGTAAAGCTAGCTTGCTACTGTGATGTGCCCCCCTCCATTTGCGAAACAAACAAAACCAAAAGGTTATCCTGCAATATTGGAGAGGGACAGAATGTCTTTGAAATCAGAATTCGAAATATTAATTGGGCGTAAACATAAAATATAAACATTAGACGTTTAAAACCAAAATTCGGAACTTGTGCGTGGGTAGCATATTTTAAAGACATGTTTTTCGTAACTGCATTCACTGAAAGAGAAGTCAACAATAATAATTATTAATAAAACAATCTTAATATCATTGTTGTACCCCGAAGGCAACAATACATTCAATAGACATGTGTATTTTGCGTCCTAGATATATATATATATATATATATATATTTTCTCTCCCCTCCCCAATATAGAATTGGTTTATATGGAATAAATTCCAATAACCCCAAAAAATACTATTCTTAATAGAGTGCTGAAAACACAGTAGAGCAAATATAATTTATTCGAAAATTATAGCATAAATACGTTATAAAATCACTACAAAAATAACCATTTTATTTCAACACATTTGGTGTCTTATCAAGTGGCGGTGTTGAATGTTGAACCTATACGAGAGAGAGTGAGAGAGAAATATGAATTTTTATATACTAGAAAAGTTTTATGAAAATTAAGGACAGAGAGGGAGAAAAAAAAGAAATAAAAGTACAAGAAAGAAAGTAACTGAAATTGGCTACAATATACATCCCAAAAAATAAAACAAAAAATTTAAGTTAAAAATTCAGTTCCCCCTCCTCTTTCATGCTCATATATACAGGGTACGATGGATAAATTGCCGTCTAATCTACGCAAAAATGAAAATAACAGTGACATCTCATTTTAACAGCGATATATATCTCAAAATCCCAATATCATGAAATGCCAGAGAGTAAATTTATTCAATAAAAATCGCCATTGGTTTCGACCATGGACTTCGGAATCTCCCGCAGCTCGTCTGGAGGGACTCCATGTGTAAGTTATTGAATGCTGCTCTAATCCTTGCCTTCAGTTCATTTTTGTGTTACAAGGAGTTTTGTTTGTCTTTCGCTCAACTGCGCCCCCACACATAAGAATCAAAGTGGGTTGCAGTCTGGAGAGTTAGGGGGGCAGATGTAAGGAGTGATGTGGTTGTAGAAATTGTCTGACAGCCATGACTGGGTTTTCCTGCTTGTATGGAATGGTGCAGAGTCCTGTTGTTACAGCTTTCCAGCTGAGACCCTCTTGACCCCAGGACGGCACTACCTCTTCAAGGAATTTGATGTAGGCCTTTATATTGAGTCTGAGGCCATGTGGGAAGATGGAGGCATAAAATCGCCATCACTTGTGATCACTCCAAACAACTTCGCAATCACCATCAGGCTCATCCAACTTTTTCCGAATTCTCGGCACCGCCCTCAGATTTACACACAAACACCGAAATGTTCGTATTGGAACTTCCGGCGCGAGTGCCAAACAGTACAGCATGCCGTTTCTGGCGGAGTGAATTGAGTCATGAACTCTTTCTCACAGACGGTATCCAACTGACCCTACTATATTGTGCAGTCGACAAAAATCAAAAACAACGCACATGAGCGAAATTAAAAAATATAATAATGGTGACAATAGCACCCTGTAGATACAGGAACATAAAAAATATCCCTTTAGTCCGACAAAGTCCTAAAGGACGAAACGCGTCACATGAGAAAGCTTTCACTTTGTCAGAAAAGAGTTTTATTTAACGCGTTTGGTCTTTTAAAAGTACTTCAGTCTAAAAATGTTCTTATTGATGGAATTATAATTATATGGATGGGGGGAGACAGGGAAAAAGAAAATCTCACGGGAGCTGTTTCGAATTGATGACACTGCAAACTAGTGCGATTACTCATTTTCAGCAACTTTGTAAGTAAAGTATCAATCCTCTTCAAATATTCAGTGTCCTTTGCCAACTCGTGAAAGGTCATCAAAGCTCTCCAAAATTTTTTTTTTTGTTCTTACGGAGAATGGATTTTTATTGATAGTTCTTTTAATGTGGTTTTTCAGTGTGTAGACAACAGCTGTGTGTCGAATGTCTATGGTTATTATTTTTCCATTTGACATTAATCAAGAACCATTTCCCTAATATTTACAATTTCCAAAGCTATTAATCTGTACTCTCCAACTCGGATATTAATTCCTTTGATTTTTGTTTCTCGGAGACAAATGTTATAACTATCAATAGCCCAAGCCAATAATTCACATTTAAATTTTTTTTTTTTTTATCTCCACCTGTCCTGACATTAAATGTCCCGACAGTAAGTTTTTATATGCGCGACTGGAGGCATTTACAAAGTGGTCAACTTCACGGTTGAAAACAGACGTCATTAACTTCTCCGCTAATATAAATGTCGATAAAGATTATTCACCAAAAAGAAATGAGAATTTAGGGAAGCTAAGTTTATATTCTATTTATATCCGCCTCCTACACACAGACACGCAAACAAAATATGATTTTCATGTATAAAAATTTAATTATCGTATTTTCCCATTTTGGCGGCACGGTAGAATAGTGGATAGCGGCTCGGATTGAAGAATCGGAGAATTCGAATTTCAATCGACTCCTTTACATTCACTTACATGACCCTTGGGAAAGATATGAATCCTACCCCCCCCCCCGCAGCTATGGGTAAATAGCAGAACAGATTTGGATGGCAACTGGTCAGCCGCAGAAAGAAATGGCAACCTACTGCGAGAAAAACTGCCTCGTCAGTCATGTATCGAAAGATACATGATTGCCTAAGCGTGTATCACACATGGCACATAACTGACTGATTCTCCCATATATAATTCAATAAGGAACAAGGTTTGCTGTTTGGAAAACACTGATCGCTCAAATCTTCGGTCACGATGACTTGTGATTTCGTGCTAGTGCATCCATCGACGGTCTCCGAACAGTTCAGTCAACTCAATTTCATTAGAGTTCCTGAGAACTATACCATACACCCCCACTTTAACCTGTTCATGTTGATTAGTTTGTTTTCTTCGTATTTTTTCCACTGTAGGTTATTTAAAGCCAGAAAATATTCTTAGATATTAATATTTGTGGTGGGAGGTAATAATGATTTAGTGATTAAATTCTTACTAATTAACCCATAGCTGGAGGGAAGAGGTAGATACATCCCAAAGGTGTAAGTGAATATAACGAACACAAAAGGGAAATGGAAATGGGCACTGCGATTAACAATTCCGAGCCATTATCCATTAAGCCACCCGCACACCCAAGCTTACAGCACCTGGTCACCAGCGTTGCTTAACATTGGATAATAACTCTTTCAATGGGACTAATTCATTATGGCCATACGGGTACCACATGTAGTACAACCATAGTATCAGTGGTGTGTCTAAGGCAAAAAAAATAGCAAACTGAGCTTTGTTGTCGACGAAATGGGTACACAAAAGTTATCCGCCCCCATTACCCTAAAAAATGCCTTGAATGTGCAATCGCACGCCGTAACTTAAATGACCAGTCTGTTGCATTTCTGAAATAGTTATGCATTTCCCAGAAGTATTCCTCTGGAAAGATTGTATAGCGTCATTCTAGTTTCATTCTTTCATATCAATCGGCCTTGTTGCTGTACCAAGCTTCTTTTATTAAATGAAAAGGTTTTATGTATTACTCTACATAAAACCTTTTCATTTACTAAACGAAGCTTGGTACTAGCGAAAGAATAAAAAGAAAAGAAAATGTCAATAATACTGGTGGTAAGACAGCACTGTCATAATCAGAAAGTGTCATTCATAGAGGTGTGGTTAACAAGTTAATTTCGTTCGCTGGTTGCAGGGAATTCAAGCCTGCATAGAAACACAACATTGCTCGGAAGAACTATACTTAACAAATAAGTTATTTAAAACAGAAAAATTATTCAAAACTGAAGCAGATTTAAAAGCAGTCCAATATAAATACAAGGTTCATATAATTTTTTTTTAAAAAAGTAGTTTAATCGTTTTCATTTGAGCTATTTAGCTAAGCTAACAATTTAGGAGACAGTAGTCAGAGGATCTTGATAAAATAACCAAAATTAAACTCTCCATTAATCATCTGAGAGATCCATCTCTGCCTTCCCTCAACATGACAGACGCTAACCCACGGGAAAGTGACTCGTTGCGCCTGCTCATGCTAACGTTCTCGACTGTCATGAAGTGGAAAGACTATATTGAATCCATTGCGAGGTAAGGTGCTAAAAACGATGGTTCACTGGGTCATGCGAGACAATTTATCACTGCGAATTCGACCTTGCATATCTATAAGTCTATCATTCGTCCATGCCTTGAATCCAAAGAAGAATCAGCAATATTATAGGTCCTGATCTGGCGGTTCGACTTCAGTCACTTTTCCATCGTCGTAAGGTTTCCTCTCTGTGTCTTCTATAAATACGTTTATGGTAATTGTTAGGATTTACTCGGAACGTGCAAAATTTTGCATCGAAATATTGATGATTCCAAGATCTTTTGCATACATCTAATATAAATAATGTTTAAAGATTTAGCTTTCTATTTTTCTGAGATAGTGTTCAAGTAGTTTTATTTCCTATTTTTCTGGGGTCTGCCTCCTAGGCGAGAGAGTTACTCATTTCTGCCCAATTCCAGTAGCTATCTGTATGTGAGGTCAAAGTAGGGTCTAAATGCGAACTTTCAATGCAAATGCTGACCACCTTGATAGAGGTATACAGACATTTTCCACCTATTTCCTTCTTTTGATCTTTTTCGTGACTAATATCAGTAAATCGTTAATTTCCCTCTATTGCATTTAACGATGGTGGAGATGAAAAAAAAATGTTCCGTATTTTAGATTAACTAATCTGTTCATTTCTTATTACATTAAACTGTTAAATTTATTTATTTACTCGAGATAAAAAAAAAATTAAATTTAGGTATCTCCAATTTTCATGGAGGAATATGGGACACCCGAGCAAGAAAAACCATGAAACGTATAGATTCAGCTAAAAAAAAAAAAAAAAAAAAAAAACGTATATTATTTTTCGAAATCAGATATTTATTGTCACTTGTTAGGGGATCGTGAAACACACGCAGATTTTTAAAATTTGGCATTTATGTAAGAACATCCTTCTTAAATTGGTCTCATAAAAATTTATGAGAATTTTTTGCCATTTTTTAATTTGATTTTCAATTGTGTATATATATATATATATATATATATAAGTGGATTACATTCAGATTTACACGTTTTGAAAAAAAAAAAAAATTGTCGGACCCCCCAAAAAATTGAATACAGGTGCCTTAGTCTTAATGTTTTGTAAAATCAAAATTAAAACTATGGTCCTTGTTGAACATTAATTTATATTCGACGACATAAGAAAAAAGATTCCATAGACTTTAATAATTCTAGAATCTCAATTTAATAATGCGATATTTTCAAAAGCCTGTATTCTTTCAAAACGGTATCCCCCCAATGGGATTTTTTATAAATCATACCCTTTAATAAATACAAATATAAAGATATTCGTAAGATATTCTCTGGAACTATTCGTAAAATAATTTTAAAATATTACACGGCTGTTAAATATGACATTAACTATGAGCGCACAGACTAGTAATCATTTCTGCTTTTCAGTTTAATATATTTTGGATTAGTTTTCAATATCAAACTTTTTCCGATTGCTCTAATACTCCACTTGTATATATAAAGTTATAAAATTTGTATTTATTTACTTATTTATTTTTAAAAGTTTGTCTCCTAAATTTTTCAGTAAAAATTCTATTTCTGTAATCATTATCAAATGTAAGTTACAAAAAAAGTTTTATTATATTCTTTATAGAAAAAAAAAGAACTTCATGTGGCAGGTTTTCCTCAAATTAACTTTTTAAAAATTAATGATTCTTCAATTTAAACGTAATTTAAAAAATACGGAAAAATAATTAGTTTTTTTTTTTCCTTTTATTACGGACCATCATACGTGCAATTCATTATACAGCTGTCAGCACAAATTTGTATCGTTGTCCGCCAGCCCAGACTGAGTAGAGTCACCGATATAAAAAAAAAGCATTAATAATATTTAAATGATAATAATGACAACTTTCATGGCGTAATTAAATTGAGTAAAGGTTAAAGTAACTATTTCTCATAAATTTGTCTTGATGTTACGATTATCTTTATTTTTAATAGATTTTTTTTTTTTTTATAATATCGAGTTTTCTGTCAATCAGCGGCCATTATGAATTTTGCCGACTCAAAGGAAAATGTTAACTTCATAGTCGTTTAACTATCATTATTAATTAAGTCTTAAGTTTTTAATTAATATTTTTCGACACGACATAAGATTTTCAGTGGCGATACCTATAAAAAATGTGTTGTCAGATCAAATATTTCATTCGTTTAGCATTTTATCTAGACTCTTAATCCAAGTAGAAGGTTAATCGAATATCTAACAGACTTGTAATTGATCGATTATATAACCCTGCCAAATGGTTGATATTTTATATCAGTTTCATTTACGTTCTTATTTATCAAAATAAAATTGTATTATATATTGGTTAGTGCTCGAGTCTAGTTTAGGGCCAGAATTTTGCAGACAGATTCTTACTATCCGGAAAATTGACGCAAGCTGCCTCTTCGTATGCGTCCTTGTGATAGACTTAAAAAAAAAAAAAAAAAAAGCTTATAGACCCCCCCCCACTTCCAAAATCGATGCCAATATATGCATCCATTTGTCAAGATGAATGTTTATTGAATATTTGGCTTTCACTTAGTATTAGAAGTAGTTCTGAATTTTTTGTACAATATGAACTGCTTGTTAATCAGACGATGCAACAAATTCTTCAGAAGTGGCCGAATTTCGATCCTTTTTAGCTATCATTGGAGTGACAAATGCTTTTTTATGTTCTTAAATTTTATTTAAACGTGTTTGACAGTTTCGAAATTCTAATAAATCTTTAGTAATGAGATTCTTTAAGCGAGGTTTTCAACATTAGTCCGTTTTATGGAGATGGATGGGGGTTGGGGGCGTTTATGATTGATGCAGATAACTGAAAGTGAGAGACAAGTAAAGAGGACGAATACAACGAGTGAATCTATTCCTCACTTGTGTTGATGTTTACGTTTCAAAGTCGACGTTAGTAAATTGAATAAAAACAAAAAAGAGCAGTAGTGTTCTATTTTATAAAGTAGATTCGGAAACATTTCATTTATCATTATATTTCCATGTTAGTGTTTCATGTTTTCAAAAAATTCGCAGCCGACCGATAGTAAAATCCTTTTTCTCTCCTCGAAGTATAAAAAAAAAAAAAAAAGTGTTATCGCGTTTTAATTGTCTGAACCTTGTTTTTTTTCTTTTCTTTGTAGACGTCCCAAAGTTATTAAAGATCATTTATGTATTTTTTTTTAGGATAATGAAACATTTCACTTGAAGCAAATAAGGCATTTTTACTTAAAAGAAAAAAAAAAAGGCGATAAAAACAAAAAACAAAAACCCCAAACAAAAAAGTACAAAACAAAACAACAAAAAACGCAACAAGTACAATTATCGTAAAAACAGAACTTGTATTATATATACAATATCATACAAGCAAATACTTGATTATTCTGGTAAATAAATTAGCTTCTTACCTGCAGCGTGAACAGTAACAAAAAATGTCAATGCCAGCACAATGTGAGTGACGGTCATGTTTTTCTCTTGTTAAACAGAGTACTATTATAACAATTCTACCCGTATCTCCTTTCTTAGCGTTCTCTCAAAGGCGTGTGGTGACGATGTTGATTGTATTCTTTATTCTATTTTATTTTTATTTTTTATTTTTTTTTTTTTTAAACCACGCCGCACAAGAGTCTCCTTAAGAAGCACAAAATATCCTGACGTAGAAGTATATATATATATTCTCTATATACATATTACAAAGACTACTTCATTGGACGTTAGTACTATCTTCCGGTATGTATGTACCAAACCCAAAAGGCATGTATTTCACTTGAGAGGGGGTGGTGCCTACCTTAGTCCTCCCTTCCATTTTACATCAACCTACCATCTCCACACAATATGTGTATTAACTAGGCTGTGACTACTGGCTTGCCGTTTGCTCTATAACGTCTGCTTCGACTACAGAAATCTAAAACAAGCTAATCAAATTAGCTAAAAACGAAGCTCAACTTTCCGTTCTCTTTCTCAATTTTCTTAGAAGTCGGGGTGGGGATGATTACATAACTGTCTCCGGCTTACCTTTCCAACTATTCTCCGCTGACGGATTTTTTTTCACCTGTGCGGAATATGATATTGATCGGGAAAAAAGATCAAGTCCCGAGTTCGTGGCAACAGAATTATAAATTGTAGTAGATTTTTCAAGCACTAGACTGACTGTCTGCACAAATGGGGTTGTTTGTACTGTTTTGAGTATTTTCTCTATTATGCATAATAATAATGATTAGAATTATAACAATTTTAATTTTGAACTAAATTCTTCATCTTTTTGTTGTTTTTATTCCATTT